GATCAATATTCAGCCCTTAAAAAATAACTTCAACAACTAAGACTCTTTATTGTGAGCAATTTTCACTATATAGTTCTAAGTTCAAGAACCTCTGCCAGTATTCTAAAAAATGATAATTATTTCTAATGAAAAAAAAACTAAAACAAAAGCAATAAGTTGAATTAGAGTCAGTTCAATTTATAAACAGAAGCTATAAATGAAACTTACAAAGAAAAGTAAAATGGGAAATTCTTAGAAGATTCATAAATAAAGCCAATTCAATAATGTGTGGAATATGAGAATCAAGGATAAAACAACGGACAAATCCATAGAAGAAAACTCTTAAACCAAGTTTATGCATTAGTTTTAATGTTAGTTTTAATGTTATCCCACTTTAGACCACCATCAAGTCTTTTTTCAACCTGCTGATGATAGAAGTTTAACTCATCTAAGTTCCTTTGAATTCTTTATCCTTCCTTACCACCAACAAAAGATACTAAAAAACCATAAAGTGGTTAAAAATTGAAGTGGAAATAGAAAAGAAAAACAGAAGACCCGGAGATAAACAGACCTGTGAATAATCTGAAACGGATTAAAATGTATAGCTTTATAAAGTGATCTAAGAATTGTTTGAATTAGCAGAAAAGTCAGACTTAGAAATATGTTAATAATGCTGATTAAATATAAGAGTATGTGTTGTATCTGTAATAGTAACATAAATTTTCCTCAGGTATACAAAAACATGATGAATATGACCATATTTAATGTGACCATAGTTAATAATAATAATGTGACCATAGTTAATAATACTATGATGAATAGCATAAAAAATATTCCTCAGGTATACAAAAACATGATGCTCACATCATGGACAAACAAGTAAAGTTTCAACACATCTCTTTTCTCCCCACTATCATCTTACTCTTAACTTAAAGGAAAATAACAACATGTCCCAACTATACCTGTTTGTCACCTGCAATCACAGTTGGCTACAGAAAAAAGAGCCTGGCAAAAATCAATGAAAGCATTCTATAAGAATCAATTGGCTATACAGAACTTACAATAGGAATGTTGTATATTTTATTATTATTTGTAAATTCCTTACTATACATTCTGTATATTATTAAAATTTATAATAAACTTATTATACTAAAAAAACCCACTATGAGATAAAATATAATACCTGGACATCTTTCTTCACTGGTTTAGCTTTGTTATCCGCAACTTTCTTCCTAAATTCAAGAAGAACTTCTTTACAGTCCTCAAGGTGAACCTCAGGCTCCCAGGTATCATCATCTGATGTGTATCCTTTCCATCGAACTTTATAAACGATCTTGCCCTGTTATATAAATTAAAAACAGGCAAATAAAGGATATTAGACTTGACTATAGTTCCAAAGCCATACAGCTGCTGAGAATACATGAACCAACTTGAAATGGAGATTAAAATCATGATAAAGACTGTTCATCTCCTGAGATCATTTGTGAATTCCTTAAAATACATAATGAAAGTCCATCCGATCTAAGTACAGCTGTAGCTTCTCCCTCTGAGGGCAAGTGCTTACTATAGTGGAATAATAAAATATCAGTCATATTTTAATCTGTCCCCTCCTAACGTGAATCAGCCTAAAAGCCTCTCTTAAAATGTTCTCTGCAAGACATGGGAAGCTGGTAATTGTAACAGTTTCTAGGGAAAAGGAAGGAAGGAGAGTCAATCTTCAATCTATTTTGCACGTATTACCTTTCACTTAATAACTAATTTTTAAATTAAATAACCACAATAAAACAAATGTAAAAAAAATGTTCATCTCCTGAAGCAAGTGGCAAAAACAAAAGCAAAAACAGTATCACACCAAAAGCAAAAGCAACAAAAGCAAAAGTAAACAAGTCATGCGACATCATACTAAAAAGCTTCTACACAGCAAAGGAAACCATTAATAAAATGAAAAGGCAACCTACTGAATGGGAAGATATTTGCAAATCATATATCTGAGAGTCAATATCCAGAATACATAAAAAACTGATACAAGTAAAAAGCAAAAAACAATCTGATTAAAACATGGGCAGAAGGACTGAACAGTTTTCCAAAGAAGACATACAGATGGCCAAGAGATAGCTAAAAAGATGCTCAACATCACTAATTATTAGAGGAATGCAAATCAAAACCACAATGAGTTGTCACCTCACACCTCTTAGAATGGCAATTATCAAAAACAGAAGAAATATCAAGGGCTGACGAGGATGTGGAGAAAAAGACTTCTTTTTTGCACTTTTGGGTGAGACTGTAAATTGGTGTAGCCACTAAGAAAAACAGTATGGAAGACCCTCGCAAAATGAAAAACAGAACTACCATATGATTCAGCAATCCCACTTCTGGGTATTTATCAAAAGAAAATGAAAATACTAACTGGAAAAGATATATGTACCCCCATGTTCACCGCAGCATTAGTTACAATAGCCAAAAAGTGGAAACAATCCAAGTGACCATCAATAAATGAATATAGAAAACGTAGTGTGTGTATATAGACACACACATATATATCACATACATATATAATCATATACATCACACATATATGTATGTACACACACATACAGAGTATTATTCAGCCATTAAAAAAAAGAATGAAGTCTTGCCATATGCAACAACATGGATGGACCTCAAGGACCTTATGATAAGTGAAATAAGTCAGAGAAAGATAAATACTACATGATCGCACTTACACATGTAATATAAAAAGAAAAACAGGGCTTCCCTGGTGGCACAGTGGTTAAGAAATCCGCCTGCCAGTGCAGGGGATGCGGGTTCGAGCCCTGGTCCAGGAAGATCCCACATGCCGCGGAGCAACTAAGCCCGTGAGCCACAACTACTGAGCCTGCGCTCTAGAGCCCGTGAGCCACAACTACTAAGCCCGCGGGCCTAGAGCCCATGCTCCTCAACAAGAGAAGCCACCACAGTGAGAAGCCCGCACACTGCAAGGGAGAGTAGTCCCAGCTTGCTGCAACTAGAGAAAGCCCCCACGCAGCAACTAAGACCCAAGGCAGACAAAAATAAATAAATAAACAAATTTTTAAAAAGAAAAAAACAAACAAACAAAAAAACCCAAGCTCACAGATACAGAAAGCAGATCGGTGGTTGCCAGAGGCAGGGGTGGGGGTGGGAAATGGGTGAAGGGGGTCAAGAGGCACAAACTTCCAGTTACAAAATAAATATGTCACGGGGATGTAATCAATGTACAGCACGTGACCACAGTCAATAATACTGTGCTGCATATTTGAAAGTTGCTAAGAATGCAGATCTTAAAAATTCTCATCACAAGAAAACAATTTTTAGATGTTAACTAGACTTACTGTGGTGATCATTTCACAATGTATACAAATATCAAATCATTATGTTGTACACCTAAAGCTATTATAATGTTATATATAATGTCAATAATACCTCAATTTTTTTTTTTTTTTTTTTTTTTTTTTTTTTGCGTCACACGGGCCTCTCACTGCTGTGGCGTTGCCGAGCACAGGCTCCGGACGCGCAGGCTCAGCGGCCACAGCTCACAGGCCCAGCCGCTCTGCAGCATGTGGGATCTTCCCGGACCGGGGCACGAACCCGTGTCCCCTGCATCGGCAGGTGGACTCTCAACCACTGCACCACCAGGGAAGCCCAATACCTCAATTTTTAAAAAATTAAAATAAACAAACAAATAAAACCACAATAACATCAATCCATTTTTTTAATAAACCAAAGACTGAGGTCTTTTTCTGATTATATAAGCAATGTGCAGTCTTTGAAAATCAATGAAAAACAGGAAAAAACAAATAAAAGTCACCTCAAAATACTGATAACAATTTGATCTATTTCCTTCACCTTTTGCATTTATAAGTATATATTTAATGTATATATACTTAAAACACTGGGATAATACTATCAGTTTTATCTTGCTTTCTCACTGATATGTCAAATATTTCTTGCTTTAATATCTTCCAGAAACATAATTTTTAGTGACTGAACATTATTCCATCATATAAATACAACAAAAAATACATGGGCTTCCCTGGTGGCTCAGTGGTTGAGAGTCCGCCTGCTGATGCAGGGTACACGGGTTTGTGCCCTGGTCCAGGAAGATCCCACATGCCGCAGAGTGGCTGGGCCCGGGAGCCATGGCCGCTGAGCCTGCGCGTCCGGAGCCTGTGCTCCGCAGCGGGAGAGACCCGCGTACCGCAAAAAACAAAAAAAAAAACAATGAAAACTCTCCCTTTGGAAACCAAAGGTTGTTTTGATTGTTTCCAATTTGTGTTTTTTATAAGTAACACTGTGACTCTGATTAGGTTGTTAGAATAAATTCCCAAAAGAGAGACAGGATCAAATAATAAAGACATTTAAAGATTGTAAAAATGCGCTGTCAAATGTCTTCCAGAAAAGATGCTCCAACTTTCACCTCACCAGATACAAGAGCAGGGATCAGCAAACTGTAGCAGGGCCTGCCTCTGTTTTTGCTCATCCTGTAAGCTAAGAATGGTTTTACATTTTTAAATGGTTGAAAACAAATCACCCGATCATTACACCTGAAACTAATGTAATATTCTAAGTGAATTTCACTTCAATTAAAAAAAAATTAAAACACACAAAAACAAATCAAAAGAATCATATTTACATCAAGTGCCTCAAAATGTATTGTGCACTGTCAAAATCTCTGCATTTATTAGTTCACTTAATCTTTAGAATAACCCTGTGAAGTATTAATATTCATTTTACAGATGAGGAAACAAGCTTCTAGACAGACTAACTACTAATGACTAAAAGCTAAAGAGCAGTTCAGGGCTTCCCTGGTGGCACAGTGGTTGAGAGTCCATCTGCTGATGCAGGGGACATGGGTTCGTGCCCCGGTCCGGGAAGATCCCACATGCCGCAGAGCAGCTGTGCCTGTGAGCCATGGCTGCTGAGCCTGCGCGTCCGGAGCCTGTGCCCCGCAACGGGAGAGGCCGCAGCAGTGAGAGGCCTGCGCACCACAAAAAAAAAAAAAGAGTAGGGCTTCCCTGGTGGCGCAGTGCTTGTGCCCACTTTCACCACTGCTATTCAACGTTGTACTGGAAGTTCCAGCCAGAGCAATTAGGTAAGAAAAAGCCATAAAACGCATCCAGGTTGGAAAGGAAGAAATGAAACTATATTCATGGATGATATGATTCTATTTATAAAAAAATCCCAAAGAATACACAAGAAAGTAACCAGATCTAATAAATGAACTCAGCAAAGTTGCAGGGTACAATACACACAAAAATTGTTTCTATACATCTGAAATGCCCAAACCAAAAATGAAATTAAGAAAGCAATTCCATTTACAATAGCATCTAAAGTATAAAATACTCAAGAATAAACTTAGCTAAGGACATAAAAGACTTGCATACTAAAAACTATAAAACACTGCTGAAAGAAATTAGAAAAGATACAAGTAAATGGAAAGACATCTGTGTTCTTTCGTAGGAAGACTTAATACTGTTAAGATGTCAACACTACCAAAGTGACCTCAGGTCCCTATCAAAATTCCAATAGGCTCGTTTGCAAAGGTAGTAAAGACAAACTGCAAATTCATATGGAATTGGAAGAAGTCCTGAATAGGCAAAACAATCTTGAAAAAGAACAAATTTGGAGGACTCACACTTCTTGATTTCAAATTTTACTACAGAGCCACAATAAACAAAACAGTATGGTACTGGCATAAGAACAGACACATGGAGTCCAGGAATAAACCCACACATCTAAGGCCAACTGATATTTGATAAAGGTGCCAAGTCCAATGAACAGGGACACAAATTGTGCTGGGACAACTGGATTTTCACATAAGAAAGAATGAAGTTAAGTCCCTATCTCACACCATACACAAAAATTAACTCAAAATAGATCAAAGACCTAAATTTAAAAGCTAAAACCATAAAATTCTTAGAAGAAAACACAGGGGTAAATCTTCAGGACCTTGTATTTGACAATGAATTCTTGGATACAGGCACACCTAAGAGATATTGTGAGTTTGGTTCCAGACCACTGCAATAAATATCACAATAAAGCAGGTCACACAATTTTTTCAGTTTTGCAGTGCATATAAATGTTATGTTTATATTTATACCTTGGTCTACTGAGTATGCAGTAGCATTATCTAAGAAAACAATGTACCTACCTTAATTAAAAAACACTTCATTGAGCCTCCAGTGAGCAGTAATCTTTTTGCCATAGTAACATCAAAAATCACTGGTCACAGATCACCATAACAAATAAAGAAATAATGAAAAAGTGTGAAATATTGTGAGAATTACCAAAATGTGACACAGAGACATGAAGTGAGCATGT